CAGGGGACACTGTGAGTATCTGGCAACATTTGTGATTATCACAACTGGGCAAGGCAAAGGCTTCTGATTGGCCTGCAGTGGATATGACCCAGAAATGCATCTAGACATTCTATAGTTCACAGAGTAACTTCAGAACAAGACTTAGTGGCCCAAGACATCAGGAGTACCATGATTATGGCAGAATCACCCTTGCATAAAGGTAAAAATAAGTATACAGGGTTTAATATTTACTTAAAGCAAAAAAATTCCAAAACTAAAAATGACCAAAAGGGCTATAACCACATTCTAAATAAAGCTTACTAGGGCGGGGCATGGTGGCTCATGCCTGTAATCCCAGCATTTGGGAGGCTGAGGCAGGAGAGTTGTAGTGAGTTTGAGGCCAGCCTGGGCTACAAAGTGACTTAAAGGCCAAGATGAATTACAGAGCAAGATCTTCACTCAAGAAACAAACATATAAATACAAATAAATAAAGAAATAAAGCTTACTTACAGTTGTTGATGTAAATACACCCATAAAATGTGAGCAAGTCCAGTGTTCTCACTAAGACATCATGACAAAGATTTTATTTCAAGAGTGGATGGATAATTCAACCAGAGCAAATCCAATGATAATGTACAATTAATGGGAAAAAAACTAAGTCCAAACATATCCCCAACATTTCATAAAATTCAGTATCCTATGAAATGAGAAAAAATAGAACATTTGAATATGCAACTAGGTTTGCAAAAGATTATCAGCCAATAATATACAAGTTAACAAAATCAGAGCAGAACTGCTATGAAATGGCAATGAGGAGTCACTGGTAAAACCATCTGATCATCTCCTAGGAGTTTTCTAATAGTCGAGGAACCCGAGTGGAAAGCCACAAAGCATGTCTCACTTAAAAGCATCTTCATGGAATAAATGTACAGGATATCAGCAAAAGTTTCAAGATCAAGCAATAATTTTAAAGCAATATTCCTAAACTAGTGATTGAAAAAAATCTGTATGTTAGAAAAAGCATATATTGGAATTAAACTCTAACTACATACTAAACAGTACACGCCTAGATGCATGTCTATTAGAATTAGTAACAAGAAAGTTGCGCAGTTGGTTAGTATGGTTTCCTGAGTGAGGAGAACCACTCAGTGAGGATATATATGTTCTCCCTAATTAAAGATGACAATTCTGTCAACACAGGTCCACTACCAGGTGTGACGCTTAGCTAATTCTTCTGCAGTTTACTTGAAAAATAAGCTGGCCCTGGTGGTGCCTTCCTATAATACCAGCACTCAGGAGGGTGAGGTAGGAGGAATGACCCAAGTTCAAGGCCAACCTGTGCTACATAGTGAGGTCAAAGCTTGGGTACACAGTGGGACTCTGGCTCAATCAATCAATCAATCAATCAATAAATAAATAAAAGAAACAGCTATATTTAGAAGTGTAATGTAGAAGACCCAACCGTCAGATATAAAAGACAAAAAATAAGCCCTGTTTTAGTAAGAAGGAGCAAGAGAGACATAAAACAGGCAACGAAATTGTAGCACTAAATCATACATGAAGGAAATTCTAACTGAAATCCAGTAAATATTTTTCAAACCAGTGAAGTCACACCCTTTCTTGCTATACTACCCATACACAGAGGCAGCCCAGTAATAAGAGAACATGCCATTTGATATAATAGTATGACGCCATTAAGGTGTAGTTTTGAAGACTTGTAGGAATTGACACAACATACAAAAATGATACAAACGTCATGCACATATGGATTACAACTGTGCTCACATGCATGACAGTTTTAACAGAACTATTAAGGATGATAGGATTCTTGTTGAAGTGGAGGTGCTTGATCTTGAAACTTTTGATGATATCCTGTACATTTATTCCATGAAGACACTTTTAAGTGAGACATGCCTTGTGGCTTTCTATTCGGGTTCCTTGACTATTAGAAAACTCCTAGGAGATGCTCAGCTGGTTTTACCAGTGACTCCTCATTGCCATTTCATAGCAGTTCTGCTCTGTGATTTTGTTAACTTATATTATTGGCCAATAATCTTTTGCAAACCTAGTCACATATTCAAATGTTCTATTTTTTCTCATTTCATTCACTAAATTCTAAACAACACAAGAGCAACTACCATAAATTATTTTTTACACTTTTCCTAGTAAATTTATGGTAGTATTTTCACATGCATACCTAAACACTATTAATTTGTCAGACAAAAATTTACCCACATGGGAAAGATATATTTATAAAGAGAAGAGAACATAGTAAAATAAAAATAAAAATAATACCAGCACTAAATAGTTCCACAGTCATTCATTATATGTGAGGGTTATAAATAGTTTAATAACCCTACAAAGTAGGTGTTACTGAGAAATTGTATTTTACAAATTTAAAAAAAACATAAATCATAAAGAATTAAAAGAAATGAATCTAGGTAGTCTGGAACATTCTGGAAGTATCTAATATATTTCTTCACGTTTCAACTATTTTGATGTATACAACAAATAGTGAATTATTGTAAAATTCTTAAGGTATGGATATATATTTTATATATTGTAGTGAGGGTTGGAGAATTTCTGAGAATTCTATGAAATGTGGCAGTTTGTCTCACAGGGATAATTATGCTCTACCTAAGTTGTAGTTTAGTCTAACTGATAAAAATAAGAGTTTTCTATGAAAAACTGTCAGAGAACTCTTTTTCTGTAACTCCAACACATTATTTAAAATTGAGAAATGAATTCTGTAAAGTATAACTTGGATGAAATTTGAAGTCTTTAAGGAGTTCCTACATCCTCACTGTTGTTTTGAGACTGCCCAAGCAAATAAGACTTGCAGCTCCAGTGTCTTGGCTGGGTGACCTTCCTGAATCATCTCAATGGATTGCAAGCAGTACCGCAGGGATTTCATTACATAGTTCAGGAAACCTCTGATTTTGCTTAGAGCCAATCAACACAAAGATTTTGATCAAAAATGCTGTAAAGTCATTTGCACTAAGAATATTTTACAAGTAAACAAAATTTTTCACCCAGTAGGTATATTCACACCTTGAAAATTTGCTGTTCATGGGTATTTTGTATATTCTCCGTAAACTGTAAACTTTATTAATTAAGTTTTTCATTTACTATCAGTGCAGTAAAAAGTCACTTAAACTATAATTATTATTAAACTATGCAGCTTTACAAACCATCAGAAATTCTTAAGTTATTTTTCCCATTTCAAAATTATATGAAACTATTGCATAGCTACAGCTAAGGACAGTTCTATTTAGCCTAAAATTAGTTTATTATTTTGGTACCTTTACCATAAAGTATGTAAGTATCATTTCAATAAACTTATTCCTGGTTGTGTGAGATATTATTAATAATCTACAAAATATTCACAGATTACTCGCAGATCCTAAATTTCTCTTCAGTTAATCAGTGGACAGTAGTGTTCTGTTTCATAGAATGTGGCAGTTTTTTTAAATTTTATTTTCAAGATCCTTGTACATTTTGTAGAAAGTGGACCTTACTTCTAAGGCACACTTTAAGCTTTTAAAAAGTAATGCACAGAAAACAACTGTACAAAGTATAAATTAAGGAAGAAATTCTTCATCGTTCTTAAGTCTTCTCATACCTTTTTAACTGTGACATCTTTCTCTCCCTCTCCTTAAGCGTAAGTATTGCCTCTCTGTCCCACACAGGATACAGCCATGGTCTGTCATTGATCAATCCATCCTATCGCCACTCTACTGGGACAGGGCGGGAAAGTTTAACACTTCACTCTAAAAGTTGAGTTTGTTTATTTTTAAACAAATGGAGATGAACTGTTGTTTCACCATATTGTCGCCAAAACATTAATACTCCTAATTAAAGCAGATGGGGTTTGATATCTGCTTTGGTTTTTGGACTTTAAATTCCCATCTCCATTCCCTCCTCACTGTAGAGCCCGGTTAGATTCACAGTAAGAAATATCATGTAATGTAAAACACCCTTTGAAAGGGAACAGAACTGGGTCAGTGTACTTTTGTTTCCATTTCAGTTTTGTGGGATTACCATGGAGCTACTTAACCTGCTTAACATCAGTTTCCTTATCTGTCAAGTGTGCGTGATAATAAAATCTCTTAAGTGTCTTGAAGCTTAAAATATAATCTATGGTATTTAGTAAACTATATGGGCATCTGATGCATTCTTTTTTCTGTTACAAGCTCAACTCTTCTTTGGCCAGCTATATTTGAAAGTCTCTTAGAAAATCTCCATTAATCATACCTATACGGTAGATGTATAAGCTTGTTACCTTTCCATCTTAGCAAAAATGACCACGTGGTATGTAAGCCAAATGCTGGCAGCAGTTCAAAATGAGAAAGTATTTGTTTGAGACTGATATGTGTCTTACAGACTAATTTGGATGCTTGATGTTTAGCTTCCTCTTCCACTCTGCTTGCAACAAGATGATAACTGAAAAGAGATATAAGCAATGTTTACAAGTTAGTTTATCCTCTCATGGTCTTCATTAACTTGGTGTGGGTGTTGTTCCATCAAAAGGTCAAGGGTCATGGTTCTGGTTTTTAATTGCACTGTGCTCTTTCCAAGGCTCCATCGGCTTTATCATTGCTTGGGAGATTTACAGTGCTCCCTTCCATCGTCAGCTTGCTAATAGGCAGGGGCTGAACTCCCTGGAGCAGAGGCTGGGAACATAAGCAGAGGCTCAAAGCTGGAGCTGGAGGCACACTGCACTTCTGAAACGTCCTAAAGGCATTCGCAGATGTGTGAACGTGCATTAGTGACCCAAGGGGATTACGCTGGCACCAAGTTTACCTTTATAAGAGCGCACTCTTGCACTGTGAGCAGAAAGGGAAGCAGAAAGGCCAGGGGCGTGATGGTTGGAGAAATCGAAACGAAAGTGTGTGGGAACAGAGGGTGCTTGTAAAAGAAAAAAAAATGCAAAAGGAAAACCATCACATTTGGCCTTGGGGTGCATAAGTTTAATATTTATATTGAGTAAATACCTAACATATTTATTGAAACATCCCAGGGCGTCTAGGCTGAGGAACGTGATTTGATCTTCCTGCGTCTGTTTATGTGCGTGGTAACTGACAGTAAGCGACACTGAACTTTCATTTCCTGCTCGCTGAATCTGGGGCAGACGGCGCTGGAGGATGACTCAGTGGCTCCCGCAGCAACTGCCTTTGGAGGAAAGGGCTTCCTGATTGCACCACGGGCTCTTCTTAAAGATATTTGTACTTTTCCTGCCCACCCCCAACACTCCTGAGCTTCTCTTTTCGCATCAAGATCTCTAACCGCCGTCTCTAACCACTGCCCACATTTACTTCAACCTGGTTACCCACTGTTTCTTGAGTATATCTACCAGTTTCTATGAAGTTAGAATCGATTAAACCAAAACAAAACCGCTAATGTCTTTGGTCACTATCAACTGACTCCTCAAAACATACATTCATAATCTTTTTTTAGTAAGATAAAGAAAAAAAAAACAATTACTGCTTAGGAAAATACAGATGAAGAGGAAGTAAGGTTTCAAAATTATTATAGTATCCAAAATATTATGAAAATTAATATCATCTAATCAAGGGTGTGCTGGTAACTTGCTTCTCCAAAATGTAAAAAAGGGAAAAGTGAGTGTATTTAATAAATTGATTGTGCAATCTATTGTAGAGCGTCTATAGCAAGTAAGTATGTGTTACATACTTGAAATCACTGGCAGATTTTATGTGTTCTCAGAAAAATAACCTGTGATGTAATGCACAGGTTGCATATAGATTTAGTTATTCAACAGTGTATACGTAATCCCAAACATTATGTTGTACACCATAATAATACTTAATGGTCATTTAAAATATTTTAAATGCCAAATGAGTAAAATTGAGGTAGTACAGTTGCACTGTTAAAGAAGCAAATATTTTAAAATTTAAAAACACATCATGGAAAATTCATGTGGCAAAAGCAAATATGTAATTAAAAATGAAACATATCTATGTTTATAGACTTGAAAAGAGCCTGCTCACTGAGCATTGCATGGGGCAGTTCTCAGCACTGCCCTGCGCACTTGGAGCTGGAGGCCTCCGCTGTGGGCTGTCCTGGGCACTGCAGGGAGAGCAGCAGCGTCCCTGGCCTCTGCACATCCGTGCCCCCAGACCACAGGCCACACCCACATACCACACCCAGTGGTGAGGTCCAGAAAGGTCTGCAGATAGCAACAACTATGTCCGAGGGACAGAGTCACCTTTCAGTAAGAACAAGTATAAATGTGATTCCGCTGATGGAAAAAGAACATCTGTAGGGTTTTTGTTTCATTTTTTACCCACGTATGCTTATTATCAATCTCTAAAGAGGACAGTTGGAAGTGTATACATGAAATAATACATCTAAGGAGGGGAGGATGGGGAATCATGGTCAATTCTGAAGTGGGGAATAGAATGTTTATTTCTCAATAAAGACAGCAAAAACTAAAAAAAAAAGCTGAGAGAAAGTGCTGTCTCCTTTCAACGTGTAAATACTTGCTCCATGGCTAAGCCCAGGTTCAGTGATTCACTGAACCCAGAATTCAGAACAGATTCATAAAGGTGATTCTTTAAAGCCAGGTCAGGGCATTTACAGGCCACTCCAGTCAAATATACAACAGATAATCACACAAAGTCCTGCGAGACCATTCAACACCCACCAGCACATCCCCTTAGCACATGGAGCATCTGAAACAAGGCCTGATGTTCTCATAAATCTACAGCACTTTCCACGCATCAGGTGAACAAAAGCATTACAGAACAGTGGCTCTCCAAGTGTGGTCCTGAGGCCATGGGTGTCAGCAGTGTTTGTGGAATGCTCAGAAATACAAACTCACGGGTTCCTTCTCAGACCTACAGAGTTGGAAGACCTCAGAGGAGGGTCCAGGAACACGCCCTCCAGGTAAGCATGATGTGTCCTCTCACAGTTTGAGAATCTCAAGCCTAGACAATAATACTTTGATTTTTGAGTCACTTGATGTGTTTAAAGAATTGTCCTCTTGTCAGCTGTGTTTTCATAAACCATAAACTGCGTAGCAGAGAGATTCAAAGTGCCTCCAAGTTTGGAGGAGCAAGGGCTTCAAACATTACTGTAACGTCCTGTTCACAAGACTGTCTTGTTTCTTCTCAGACTATTGCTGTAGTTTCCCTTCTTTTGAGCGCACTCGGAACGTAGTAAATATAGCACAAGGAAAACGCAGTTACCTTAGTATTTTTTAATTTGATGAATCAGAACTTTATTCACCCTGCACAGCAGACAGACATTAATAATTGAAATAAGAAATCATTACGAAGAACTCATCTCAGAAACGTGATTACTTTGGTCGGTGTTTGCTTTGATATCTCTGAAAATAGGAGGTGTGAGTGAAAATATAAAGAATACAAAATAGAACTGAGTTTTAAAATGTCACATATGCCAAAATATATTTTAAAAATCAATTATCTGATATTTTTGTCTCTGGAACACCATAGCTAGATAGCAAAAATGTTTATCTTCAATGAAGGGCTTAAGGCGAGCATAAACTATTCTGTAGAAAATATAATGGAATCTCCTGCCTACCACACTAAGTGAATAGAGATCCTCAGTTTAATGTGTGAAAGGATTATGTACAAAGTCAAGAGAGAAGACCAAAGGGAAAAGAAAGGAGGGAACGGAGGTGTACTATGTAATTATGGAAACAGGGGGTGTATTTATTTGAGTATAATCCCATCTCTTATGATGTATTATTCTACTCTCACATAGACTAAATTGTATGCAGGCGGATAAGTTATATACAAGGTATGAGCAAAGTATACTGTCCCTTGCTTTGAACACACTGTTTAATTCATTCTTGCCACTTTCTGAAGCAGCTCTGAAATTCCCTTGTCACAAGTAGCTTCACAAAGCGTGGTAGAAAATGCAGTGAATGCTGTGGCTGAGTGCCATCCAGTGCACAGGCAGTGCTGTGAAAACATTACCGTGTGTCCTGACCCACCTTATTCACCAGATCAGACACCAGAAAACTTCTGTATCTTCCCTAAAGTCAATATGACTAAAAAAGGTAAATGTTCCAAACAGATTCGGTACAAGGGGCAGCCAGAACAATACCAAATAAAGACACTCATGAAAGAGAACTTCCGGAACTGCTTCAGAAAGTAGCAAGAGTGATGGGATAGGGGATCAAAATGAGGGAGAATATTTTCAGGAGATTAATACCACTGTAATACTTTTTTACATTTAAACATTCACTGTATTTTTTTCTCACACTATACATGTTAGTTCCATTTAAAAATCTAAATTTTTGAAATCTCTCTTACTGATTAGATTTACATTGTATTTATCAGAATAAGATTAGTTCTTGATCTTGTAAACATTGCATGTGATTCATTAAGTCACTGCTTTTGTGAAAGAGTATGCTTGATTTCCAAAGAATTTTTATGATAAACTAATTTTTTACTTCAAATTGAATTCTAAAGTGACTTTGGTTACTAATGTGTTTTAAATAGATCTACTCTTACAAATGTTCCAAAGGAGCCGAAAGTTTGAGCTTTATCTTTTGCAAATATATGACGTTCTGACAACCAGATACTGCTAATTAAATATAGATCCAGTATAAACATTAGAAGCCATAAATCATAGGATCTTTCTTACATGAGTTAAATGCATAATGCATACACTTCAGAAAAACTCAGCGAGTTAACCTTGCTCAACTCTAAGCAAAGGAAGCCTCCTCCACTGGACTGGAGGTATCTTATTACTAGTACTGCTATGAGCTGGTTGTTTAATGTATCCTAACCTGTTTTCTAAGACTGCTGAGCTATTACAGAAAAGCATCATTCAGAAAAGAAAACGTTACATTTAACAATATTAGTTTTAGAAATAATAGGATGCAATGTCTGTCAAGGTGAATTTATCATTGCTTGTGGGAAGACCTGATGGAATTTTTGCGTTTAAATGGTTATTTGCATATAGCTTAATTTATTTGCAAAGAAGACTTCAAGAAACCGCAGAAGGTTATCGTTTTTACATCTAACATTCTTAGTTTATGAGAGAGGCTTTAATGAGCATTGATACTTTCCCCTAATGCTAGGTAAAGGCTAATGATTTATGAAAGGAAATAAAATATGTCTGGATTATGGCTACAGGCAAAAATGCTTGCAATTTTACAATTTTGGGATGGATTTTCTTTTCTCAAACATACAAACCTGGCTCCTCAGTCCCCATGGAGTCGTTATAGGACGTTACTCACCATTCGCGATAACCCTTGGCTTTTGTCGTGCTGACAAGCAGTAGGCTGGACAAACAAGTAGCCTTAGATTGCGATATGATCACAGGCGCTTTCAGCTGGATTTGGACAGCATTAGTGTTGGGTTACGTTCCATTCATCACCATGACGTGAGTGGAGACGGCGGAGGACAGGACCCAAACTTCTGAACTCAGCGCTGGCCTCCTTCTCAGGACGCTTCCTGATCTGCTCTCTCAATGACAGACAAACCTCAGGGTGACTGGGAAGCCAAGCAAGCCAGAGAGTGCTGAAAACTCACCCTGGGCCTCCCGCAGCACTTCCATAGTCTGTATTTATGAAGATCTATGATGTGTATCCAGTGTTTCTTCCCTGTGCTCAAGCAGCTCCTGAAATCAAACTGCGCCCTTCTACAAGAAGAGGAATTGGCAATCAAAGATGCACATCTTCTTTTCTGTCCTATTCATATTTAATGGACACAGAACCCAAGTGTCTTTACTCTTAGTGATAGTCCATTCAAATCTGGAAAACTAGCTCAGAAATATTTGTTTCCTACTTGGAAGAAGACAACGCTAGCGCATACACACGGAACCAATGAATTTTAGGAAAGATTTAATTAACAGAACACATTCCATCACCCATATACCTTTGTGTCCCTCAAATCACACCAACATACACACTTACAACACACACAGACACACTGACAGGTCTACATTTTTATAACAAAAAAATATTTAGTCCGCATGGGTATTGAAGAAAACATCGTTTTCGCTGATGGGAGACAAAACATTATTGCTTGTTTTTCTCTTAGAAGAAAGAAAAGAAGATGTCTTCTGAATTTTGTTTGGCTCTCAATACAGAGGGAAATAATATGAAATAGATCCTTGATGTTTTAATTCATATTTAGAAATAAGATTTTAAACAAATTATGCAAAGAAACTAAACAAAGGAACCACAAGGACTGCTTGAAGTTGTGATTGGTTTCTTACATGAGAAGATAGGAGCTGTGTGTTTGTCAAACAGATCTCAGCTGTCTTGTGGTTGCACAGTTTTACCAATCAGCATGAGAGTTCAATTTTTACTTCTCCATCAGTGTGACAGAAAAATATATCCAATAGATAGTTTAACATGAGAGGACTGTTTTTGCATATTA